TTCTTCACACATTTCTTCTCTCTAACCTCGTACCGACTCTTTGTCAAGTCAGAGAGCCACATCCCTGGAAAACAATACTGCCCAAATACACAAAATATAAAAACCACTATTTTTTTTCAATCATTCTTACAAGCAATATCAATAATTTTAAAGAAGATAGGCAAGTTTGTGATTACCTGAAGTGCTTTATCAATGTTCTTGGCCCTTTTTTTGGGTCTCTGGGGCAGTTTTGTGCCTTTCATTGCAAAGAAATCATCTTCCTTTTCCTTCCTTGACAGAGCAATATAAATTCTTGGCCACTCAATGACTTCATTGTTATTCACCTTTTCTCCTCCGCTAGCTACTACTGGTACTGAGGCCGGGTTACTATTTGTAGCCCCGGCTTCCTTTTCTGATTGAGCCCGAGTGGAATCAACTTGCCTCGTTTGATGATCGGCTACTACGATGGATCCATTTGGTTTCTCATCTTTTGCTGCTGACCTAGAGCTAGGCATCTTTCTATCAATATTTTCTGGTGTTGGAGGAGATCTCTTTCCTGCAGTAGATCTAGAAACACCCTTGCCACTGCCACCATTATTTCTTGATGGGGACCCATTACCAGCGCCCGATCGCTTTTCTAAATTCCTGGTCATGGCCACAAAAGAAAAAAAGAAGAAAGAGATGCAAACTTGCTGATGAGAAATGCTTTGGTTTGGTTCTGAGATACAAACAAACAAACAAACAAACAAACAAAAGTGGGTTTCTTTCTAGACTTGAAGTGAATATGAATCAACGGCAGAAAAGGGGAGGGCATAGAATTTAATACCCACCTAAAATAAGAAAAAGAAAAGAAAAGCATATAACCTTACTAGTCATCAATAGAAACACTATCACTACATAACTGTGTTCTAAGAACCAAAAAAAAAAAGAAGATAGAGGAACACATTTCACAAATACCAATAAAGAGCAATGAATTAATTAAGGTGACAGGTTTTTTTTTTTTTTTAAGAAAAAAGGAAATTTCAAATGGGGGAAAAGTCTCAAAAGAGGACAGAAGGGTCATGACCCGAGCAAGGGGCAGAAAAAAAAAGGCCACTGGTGGACGAGTGATACCTTGACCCCATCAAAACAGCAAGCACAAATGTTAAGCAAGATAAACCAAAAACAAAGCAAAAACAGGGTAGGCAGAGGTGGCTAGAAATGGAAATGGACTTCTTGGACACCAATCAAACCAACAAATAGGTTAAGAAAGATGAGAGATGGATATATTTCATATATTCTTCTCTCATCCTTCAAGGGGTTGAAAGGTTAATCACTTTAAAAAGAAGCTGCTCTTCAATAACTGGAATCAATGAATAGAGAAGCTAATAACAGCATACGTTTAGATCCCAAAACTTTGAAATGCTTTCCATATAAAGCAACAACCTCAACCTCAAAATAAATAAATAAAATAAAGAGAAGATCCACCAAATTATACCATCCAAGTAAATCCAGGGAATTTATACCAAAAATACATACAGGGCAGGTTTTCAAGCATCATACAGGGCAGGTTTTCAAGCATCAACAATATCTAGCACATAATCTTAAGAAATAAATTCATAATTTAACAAATACCCAACAAACTTAAAAGTCATGAAAACACCAAGAAAAAAAAAAACCTGTGAGAAAGAATCCCAGAATTTTCTTTCTTTAAGCTTCCACCTCTGGTATTAGTACTCGTAGATTGTTGTTGGGATGATGGTGGTGGAGGCGGTGGTGGCATGGACGTTGGTGAGAGCTTATTATCAACTCTCCTAGGAATCTTGTTGATGGGTTGTCTAGCTTGACCAGAAGATGACGATTCATCAGGAAAGGCCCTGATCTCAGACCTTGAAACTCTAGCTCTCTTCTTTTGTCCCCATTGCAACAGCACGTCACCGTTGCCACCACGGCTTGGGCTAGGACTTGGACTGGTACCATGTCTTTGTGTGTGATTGTGGCTGTTATCTGAATGTGGAGGACTGGTTGTACTGTTATTGTGGTGGTCTTGGTTTCTCAATGGGGATCTAAATCTGAAACCTTTAGTTTCAAAATTAGTACTTGTAGAACTGAATCCATTTGGGATTGACCTTCCATTCTCAACTCCATTGGGTTTTTTGCCATTGCTTAATGGAACACAATCTGGGCTTACTCTCTGATACCTGTACACATTACAGCAGTCATTCATTATCAATAGATAACGGAGAGATGATCCACAAGCCAATGCATAAGGATTCAAAAAAATCATCACAAACATACAGTGAACTTCGACGTCCAGAGATCATATCATTAAAAAGAGAAAAAAATAATCTTTTTCACAGCATTCGATGTATAAACCAAGATTAAAACATAATATTTTCATGTTTGATCTTTTAGCTACCACATCAAACAATCCATGCATTCATTCATTCTCAAACACAACCCAGGTTAATTTGAAAACAATCAGCCATAGATCAGTGAGTGAAAAGCTTTGGAAATAGAAATTGAAGTAATCAAAACAGCTCATTTTACTCAAGCAATATTAGGAGTGGAATCGCAAAGGAGAAACCAGAGAAACAAAGAATGGCGGAGCTCTGAAGTTGATGATAAATGAAGCTTCTTTTTTTTTTTTGGTGGCAGTCTGTTGAAAGGAGGAGGTTGAAACAGGTCTTCGACTGCAGTCCAGCAAGAAACGAGCATTACAATATGGAATTTGAAAGGATAAGGCCTGCCTAATCCAAGAATAAGCACCAGAAGTTTGAGACCAAAAAAGTCATCTTTGCCTTAACAACAGAGATTTTGAATCTTTGCATTGTCCACAGCAGCAATTGAAATTTGACAATGGTTGTTGATCGAAACGCAAACTGATCAATATCAGACCCCATATATTATCTGGATCTTATAGATAATCCAATTCGTTGAAAAGAGTGTTAATCTCACTCTTGAGGGACAGTTGATTATTCATCATATCATGTAGTTTGATAAAGAACTTGTCTTTGAAACACTGAATGCTTGTAGTTGCTTTTCACAAAGAAGTATGCAATCTGCGAACAAAATCTCATCTTTAAAAGACACAAATAAAAAACGAGCAAAAGCAAGCAAAACCCATGTTCATGTCTCCTCCTTCTCATCATGACCACCACCAACAAACAACAATAGCAGGAACAGTTATACCCGGATCCAACAACCAATCCATCTATTCAAAAGACGATAAAACTAAACAAAAAAGAAAGATGAAAGATCAACACCCAAAGCGGAATTCAGATTTGAACAATATCCAGATGATGAAGAACAGAAGAAGATGGAGGAGAAAAAAGAAACAAAAACAGACAATATTTGTTGAGGCAGCAAAGAACACGGACCTCATCATTATAACCAAGCAAAACACTTGTTGGTACAGCTATGTAGAACCTTAACGAGTTAAAAGGTGGGATCCTTAGTTTTTCTTTTAAAGGGATGTTATCTTGTCAGTCCATAGATTCATCAACAATGGCTTTCTCACCATTTCATCCAGCAAGACAAGGGAACTCAAAGAGAAACAGAGAGAAAGATAGATAGAGAGGAGGCGGAGGACATAAAGGGAAAAAACAGGGAGTGAGAGGGAGAGGAAGCCGAGGAAGGGCAGGCAAGCAGACAAGCAAAGAAGTGCATATATGTGGAGTTAAAAATATATGATAATACACAATGGAAAGTATATAAATACTTGAGAGGGTAGTCACTCCTCCTGCACACTACCACAGTGGCGTATGTGAGGAGGGGGTAGGAGGGTTTTCTTCTCCTCCTCCTTTTTTATTTGGGTTTGTTCCCCATGTTCTTTTTTTTAATCGTTCTGTTTGCTGCCTCTTGGGATCCAAGGCCATTTCATTCATTCAATAATACAATTCTTTATTGAACTATATGCAGCTTGCGCCAACTACTAGGGTTTCTTGTACTTTAGGCCCAACTCTGAACTCAGCCCAACAAACTTTCGGCTGAGTTTACAAGACCTTGTCAAGGTTTTCCTGTTAAATAAGGGTTAAGTGAAGCCACCCAATTTGGCCCTCAACTTATTTTTTTTTAAAAAAAATTTAAAACTATTTTATGTTTTAATACATGAAGATTTTTTTTATATAATTTTATGCACGGATTTAAGATTTAGACTTTATTATGATTTATGGAGGAAGAGTAATTTATTCTCTAGAGTTAAAATTTTATTCTTATAAAAATATTTTAAGAAATACCTGGATGCGGGCATTCAATGGAGAAAGTCCTTTGTCCCACCTTATTTGATCAAATTCGAGGTGGAGATAGGACTATTGACAAATATTTAAATATTAAATATTAAAGATGAGATCAGCACACCTCGATCCATTGCCGTTTCTAGTATTACCCTTGTCGAATTATCTTGAGAAATCGGTCGTGATATGTTGTCATCCAATGTTCTTAGAGAACAGAGTGCCAAGGAAAACAAAACAACGTGGGACTTGGCATTAGAGGGTCTCTTGTCCTCTAAAATGGCTTGCGGATTCTGATGTGATCCTTCCTTAATACATGCGAGGATTGGCAGTTTCACTCTAAAGATGATTGCAAAAGGACGATCTTGGCATGCATCATTCGGATTTCTCAATGGCAAACACAGATCCACTGATGTTGGGAGAACGAAGCTGCTTGATATTCCATGCTGTGTTTACATGTTTCCTCAAAGCAATCTTCTATTTGCTTTAATAAACTCCAAATTATGTTTCCTGAAATTTCTGTCGCATGCTTTAGATATTGTTTGTTTTTACATTTGAAGCTGTGTTGTATTTCAAAAGCATGATTAACTTAAAAAAAATCAACAAAATAATGTTTTTATGATGATTTTGATGTTAAAGCTGTGTTGTATTTCAAAAGCATGATTAATTTTAAAAAATTCAACAAAATAATGTTTTTTATGATGGTTTTGATGTTAATATTGTTAAAAATTAAAAAAAAATTAATATTTTTTTTGCATTTCCAAACAAAAAAACACTTCAAAAAATGGGAACCCAAGCAAGCGCACACTGGATGGGAAAAAGGATCCAACACTCATTTTACAGAAAATAAATTAATTTTGACCAGAGTCATGGTAACTTGAAGTCATGGAAGAAAAACTCCTTTTTGTTAGCACAACATGTTTGTTTGAAGTGAACCAAATCAAGGCTCATGGCTGATTGACTACGGTGTCAGAGAAGGCATCCAATGCCAATTCTAATTTTGAGGAAGAGAAATACAGTATAAGCAGCAGATCAAGGTGCATCCTGGAAAGGGAGAGAAGTCACCAGGCCTTTGGTTGACAGGGTTCATGGCAGGATTCACAGCTCTATGAACTTGAATCAGTGACCTGAAAAGTGAAATCAATGGGACAAGACAAAACAAAACACAATTCATATGGTCAGTAACAAAAGGCTTAATCATTTAGTTTTAGAATTTTGAGCTGACTTCGGCTCAATTTCAAGAAAAGAAGATGATTTGATTTTCCAAACCTTGACAATGTAAGAGGCTTTATTCCCACTCTTTTCTCCCAACCCCTTGACTTTTGGCCTAGCCCCTTCTGCGCGTGCCTCTTATACTGTTGATTGACTTTTACAATTGAGATGTGAAAGGTTTTTAGAAAAGCATTTTACAGGGGGGAAAAGAGCTGGGATAGTTTTTCGTTAATGAACAAAAGGCTATTTCAAAAATATTAAGCAAATGACATAAAAGGATGCCTTGATTTTATTTTATTTTACATTAATGAATAACCAATATAATAATACCACAAAACTATTACCTGAGAAATTGTATTTAATTTAAAATACAAAGCTTTTTTTTTTTACCAATTTTTAAAATTAAATCCAATGATCAAGGAATGCCATTTTTTTTTTTTTTGTAGTCGTTGCATAATAAATTCAAAATCTCAACCATGCAAAAATTAAAGAAACCGTAATCTTAAATAATATGCATCTGTTAATAGTAAAAATGCATCAACTGCTAGTTTTGGAACAAAAGGAAGAAACGACAGAAGAAATTTTATGCATAAGCAAATTGCAAGTGCTAGATGGTATTTTAGTAATTGATAATGAGATTTGCAAATATGCACTCATTCTCTTTCTTACTGGTTGAGTGTCTTTTTAGAATTGTTTGCTTTTCAATAATGTTTTTGTTTAGAAATACATTAAAATAATATTTTTTTGTAATATTTGTTTTCATATCATCATATTAAAATCATTGGAAAGCATTAAAAAAAACATTAAATCAATGTTTTTTCAAGGCAAACACACTACCAACCAAACAGGCACAAATTTTACCTCATTTTGACATGGAACCCACATAACAATTATGATATCCAAACATTTTTATAGCCTCAGTTAGGAAAAAATCACCCCCAAAGGCATTTCCAAACAGGGCAAAATTCTAACTTTTTTTTTTTGGTCTCAGCATAAACCAGCATGAGCAGGCCCTTACTGCTATTTCTGTTTACAAAGGAAAATCCACGAGGCACCGAATGCATTTCTAAGTCCTAACTACAATAGTACAAATTCTACCCTTTGAATCATAAGCATTGCATTGTGACCAGTTTGTGACATCCAAATTGGCAACCTAGGTTTTCTAAATTTAACTTTCTAGACTAGGTACAATGAAGGCGATGGCAAAAAACAAGATCAACATGCAGATTAGAAATGTGTTAACAGTTCAATTCCAGAAAACTGAGCAAGCAACCACCAAATATGCACCTGGGTTCCATTTACCGAAAGAGCCTTGGTACTGATCTCTTCGGTACTTTGCCTTCAAGCTTTAGTCTTCTATATGCTTCTCTTATGTGGCAAGGCCTGATAGGCCCAGATTCCTTCCTCTCCGTCATTACAATTCTGGCTGTAAACCATATAAAAGAAACACATTGGAGGAAGAGTTATTCAGATATCAATATACAAACTTTTTTCCAGCATAGTAATGCATAACATGATGCGGTTCTTAAAAGTAGGTAACATCAAAGTGTTTGCCACCGGTCAGTCATCACGTAACTAGTACGATGGCCACAGAAACACCACTGTTACTTCTTCATTTCTTACTATTCTGCAAATGGAATTTAAAGAAAACAATGACAAGTAGGAAATATATGCACACCTGTTTCAACAAGTTCACCAACAAACATTTTTGCTATACCGCAAACTACAATTGTCATTGGTAAAGAAATTTTCTGGGTTCCAGTGATGCTCACTAACAGCTGCATTCATGCCATGGGAGAAAAGTAAAGAGTTCAGGTTAGCATCAATAATTAAACGAATCAACTGGTGCACAAATTAGTGACATGAATGATGCATCGCAAGAAGGCTGCATGGAAGTAATTGTCAAAAATAGCAAAACCAACTTATGCAAAACTTTATGAGGCATTTCAAGAAGGTTGAGTGGAAGTAATTAACAGATGTAGCAACTACTGTATAAGCCCAAAGGATTTCTGGCAACTTGTTCCCCACAACAGAGAAAAATATTCATCTTGCATGTATCAACCCTCAGGAGGCAGGGGGGGTATAAAAGACCACAATGTGCCCCCAAAAAATAAATTTCAAGGACGAGACAAAAAAAAAAGATATAGCATGAGAAAAGAAGGAAGATGCAAGCAATAGGAAAGCATACCCTTTTCATGTTAGTCTTCTGCAGTGCAGATCTGCGGAATGATTCGTACCTACTCATCTGTTCTTCAGTAAACTGAGCTAAAATAGTCCTGAATAAAGAAACAAAGGGAAATAGCTCAAAGAAATGCCTCCTTCTATAAATGATTAGATGAGGAAGATAAAAAAAATGGTGGCTATAGTATTCCTCCAATTAATGACACAAAGCATTTGAAATAGTTCTTTTCGTTCTTCCCAGCACTCAATAAATAAAATCAATTTCTTATCATGTCCCAGATATTTAACCATCTGTAATTTTCATGAAATAACAACCTGCGGAAAGGAAACAGCCAATAGCTTTAAAAGCAAATTTTTGCAATTTAAAAAATTGTACCTCCTCCTATTTTATATCATCCATTTGAATAAAGGCCTGACTCTTAGCAACACCAAATTCTTTCTTTTTTATTGCAATTTAAAAAATTGTACCTCCTCCTAGCAACACCAAATTCTTTCTTTTTTGAGCAGAATATCATGAACGACTAATAATTAGGCTTTCTATCAAACATTCTATTTTGCTTTTCAGATGTTGTTTCCAGAACATCACTTGCAACTGATGTTTCACTTTTCTCTTGTCATTCTGTTCTATTAAATTTCTTTTTATGATAATAGGATTTGAACTAGGATCCCTACCTTTATAATAGGAGCAATTACCATAGCAACACATAACCTAACTTTCAAATTAATGCAAAAACCATAGGATTTGAACTAGGTTCCCCGCTCATCCTACTATCTCATGCAATGTAAGGAAATAAAATTATACTGTGCTAGCAATCTGGGGAAAAATGTTGGATGGATATCATCAAATCTTACTCCCCCCATGGCCAATCTTGAAACATATAGAGAAATTCCTAGTTGTACCACGTGAAAACAAACATCTCTCTTTTGTGAGATTAATCATTCTCTTCTTTTCTGTTTTTTTGATGAAGCCAACATTCTTTTGTATCACAAAACCAAGAAAATTTGCAAAAAGATCCTACAAAATCAATCACTAACATTCTTAAATAACTGTATCATTATCGAGTTGAACCAACGTAAACAAGTTCTTGTATCAAAATAGAATATCACTCTCAGTTGTAAGCAACCAAACATGATTGAGCATCTTACAAAAGGCACAAGAATCAGGAATTCAGTAATGCATCTAGGATCATTGTTGCAGTAAAAACCTCAACGAAAGTAGTTAACTACCTCAAGTTTCTTCATAGAATAGTTAAAAGACAAAAAAAATGAAATTACCTACTAACCATGTCATCTGGGAAAAAGCATTCAGAGAAGTAACAGAGACAATTATTGCAACTGGCTATCATGTCATGTAGAAATGAACCTTTTCTAATCCCAAGCTTTACATTCTAACCTTTCTTACAGAAAGAATCGTAAAAATATTTAAGGCCTGAAGGTCTAATGGATGAGGCTATTGTTTGCGCATGATACTCTTTGCAATAAGCATGCACAGGAGATGAAGCTAAAATATGTAAAAATAAAAAATTATAGGCAATCTGAGTCTAACTTGAACTGGTGGCCAAGAAAAGCAGGAACTTTAGACACTCGACACTCAACACTCAACAGAATCATCTTGTGCCTGTGCACCAGACTATTTACTCTCTCGTATCAACATCCAATGCATAGCTCTTCTACCATGTAATGCACCATGAACATAACTGCTTAGCTCCTGAAATATTTCAGTCCTGCTATTCCCAAATCTTCAATACCATCATAACATCAACTGAAAAAAATGAAGGGGGAGAAACCAAGCCTGCCCAGAAAGCGCAAAAAGCAGAGTAGTGCACCCTTGCTCACCCTGTGATCGATTTCCATATCTCCAACATCTTACAAAGACACCCGCCCTCTTAAAAGAGTGCCTTCAAATACAGCCTAAAGCGATAAATCATTACGACAAACATGTATAACAGAAAGTTCCTAAATACCATTCTTTATTTACAAGTTAATGTACCCACAATCACAATCAAATACAAAACAAATCACAATAACAAGAAGGATAAAATAAAGGAATTATGAATTTGAAAACTTACTGCATCTTTGCCATTTTATCAGGGTCAGCAGTAGAAGCCAACTTCGAAAGCTCAACATCCATGTTATCTTCCTCCTCCTCTTCATCATCGTCTTTATTCTTTGCCTTACTTCTTGCAGAGCCCAACATGGGCCTCGAAGCAGATGGGTGGTCAGAGGAATGGGCAAAATCATTGCGGCCTCCACCGCCAAGGTCATCATCATCTTGACCACCGACAGCAACCTGAGAATCATCAGCAGCAGCAGCGTTAGAAGCTTGAGTGTCATAATCATCTTGGGCAACAGGGGATTCTGGTGGCGATTCTTCTTGCTCCACATACGCTGCCTCGAATGGATCCTTCGATTGCTTCATTGCCCTGTTAACACATTAAGCAATGTAAGCACTGAGCATTTCTGACGAAGACTTCGAGCACAAAAAACTTGAACAAAAGGATCTAAGCCATAGATTAATGAAAAGAATCCAAGGAATAATAAGATTCAAAATTGACATGAAAATTGAGTACCTGATTAATAGATTATTAATAAGGAAATGAATAGCAAGTCAAATCCCACAAGGGTTTGGGATTAGTTATATGAATGAACGATTATCGGTAAAAAAATGGTTTGGAAAGATTTTGCTAATTGTCTTGTAATTTGGGATTATTTCATTTTCTTATTTATCTGAACTGTCCAGAGATTTTCCCAGGTTCTTTTTTTTTATGGGCAACTTGAAATTTACCCACCGAGCTTTAGGCCCAGTCCAGTTTCTACCCTTGACGAAGAAATCGTATTAGCCCAAACAGCTATCATTTCTTTCTTTCTTTTTGCCCCAAGGGGTTAACACGGAATGAAGGGATCTGGAAAAACCGTCAACCCCCTCTGTTTAATAAGGATAATCATTTTCAGTTTAGTTTGAAAAACAACCAAATTAAATGTTTTTTTTTATATATAAATGAAACCATACTAAAACCGGTTTAACCGACTGGTTTCGGTTCAGTTATTTTGAAGGCATTCTTTTAAGGGGGCTGGTTTCTTCTGTAAGATGTTGGAGATAAGGAAATCGATCAAAGGGTGAGCCACTCTGCTTTTTGCGCTTTCTGGGCAGGCTTGGTTTCTCCCCCCTCAGTGTTTTCAGTTGACGTTATGATGGTATTGAAGATTTGGGAATAGCGGGACTGAAATATTTCAGGAGCTAAGTCTTGGCCATCAGTTCCAATTAGACTCAGATTGCCTATAATTTTTTTTATTTTTAAATATTTTAGCTTCAGCTACTGTGCATGCTGATTGCTAAGAGTATCATGCGCAAACAATAGTCTCATCCATCAGACCTTCAAGCCTAAAATATTCTTACAATTCTCTGTGTAAGAAAGGTTAGAATGTAAAGCTTGGGATTAGAAAAGGTTTGTTTCTGCTTGACATGATAGCTAGTTGCAATAGTTGACTCTGTTACTTCTCTGAGTGCTTTTTCCCAGATGACATGGTTAGCAGGTAATTTCAACCTTTTCTTTTAGCTATTATATGAAGAAGTTTGAGGTAATTAACTGCTTTCGTTGACATTTTTGCTGCAACTATGATCCCATATACATTATTGAATTCCCGATCTTCTGCCTTTTGTAAGATGCTCAATCATGCTTGGTTGCTTACAGCTGAGAGTGATATTCTATTTAGATACAAGAACTTGTTCAAGTTGGTTCAACTCGATAACGAAATTTGGGCATTGTTTGATATCGGGATAGTGCTGGTGGGGTAGTGCTGTGGATGATATATTTTGATTTAAAGATTTTTCATTTATAATTACCGAATAAAAACTTGTTAACAACATTTATTAGTTGAAATATCCTTTATATTACATGATTGACAAGAATCAATTTTTCCAGAATTTTCTCAAGAGAGTATTTGGCGTTGTGTTTGAAAATTGCATGATTGACAAGAATCAATTTTTCCAGAATTTTCTCACTAAGAGAGTGTTTGGCATTGTGTTTGAAAATTACTTTTAAAAAAATTTGATTTTTTTTGTTTTAAATTAATATATTTTTTATATTTTCAAATAATTTTGATGTGCTGATCTTAAAAATAATTTTTAAAAAATAAAAAAAATATTATTGACATATTTTTCTGAATGAAAAATACTTTGAAAAATAATAGTAACTACACTCTTAAATACGCTCTAAAACAACTTGAAAATAATGAAAAGATTTTTTGCCTTCTAAAATTTAAATAAAAAAAAAGATATCTTTTATTTGTATTTAAATATTTTGTTCTTTTTAATTCCAATTTCTCAGCTACAATCTAAGCTACACTATATCAATACAATTCATTCTTCAACAAGTATATATCACCAGGGAAGGAATAAAGAGAGATAACATATCGACATCTCATGCATTCAAAATAGATTAATAAATTTTAATAATAATTTTTTTTAATTTTATTTTTTAAAATTTAATTTAATTTGATTTTTATATTAATTTTGGTCTTTATTTTTATGATTATTATTTTTTAATTAAATTTTTTTATTTATCAGATTTGGTCATCATTTTTTTAAATTTATTTATTTTATTTAAAATAATTTATGAAATTATAATTTATTATTTTTTTAACTCTTAACTTTTTTTATCTATTGTATTTTATCTTCATTATTTTGATTGTTATTTATTTTATTTGAGATAATTTATAAAATTAGATTTTTTTCAATTTCATTTCCATTTAACCTTTTAATTTATAAGATTTATTCATCATTATTTTAATAAACTTAAAAAAATATTAACAAGTTATTTTCCATCTTATTTTTCATGATATAATTAAATATTGGAAAATATTTTTCAATTTATTTTTTATAATATTACTTAACATCAAAAAATAATTTAATTTTTATGAATTTATTTTTCAAAAAATTACTTTCAAAGACAAAAAAACTTTTCAACAAATATAAAAATTTCTGTGATGCTTAAACTATATCATCTCAAGCTCAATGCATGTATATACACGAATGCATGCTGCTAGACTACTAAACTTCCTGAGAATTGTATATCAAATGCTCTAGGGTTACATTTTCTTGTTACATTTATTTAGGGATGAGTTAGGCAGGTTTTAAATATCCTGACCTCCCACTCAATTGAAATTATAATTTATTATTTTTTTAACTCATTATTTTTTAACTTTTTTTATCTATTGTATTTTATCTTCATTATTTTGATTGTTATTTATTTTATTTGAGATAATTTATAAAATTAGATTTTTTTCAATTTCATTTTCATTTAACTTTTTAATTTATAAGATTTATTCATCATTATTTTAATAAACTTAAAAAAATATTAACAAGTTATTTTCCATCTTATTTTTCATGATATAATTAAATATTGAAAAATATTTTCCAACTTATTTTTTATAATACTACTTAACATCAAAAAATAATTTACTTTTTATGAATTTATTTTTCAAAAAATTACTTTCAAAGACAAAAAAACTTTTCAACAAATATAAAAATTTCTGTGATGCTTAAACTATATCATCTCAAGCTCAATGCATGTATATACACGAATGCATGCTGCTAGACTACTAAACTTCCTGAGAATTGTATATCAAATGCTCTAGGGTTACATTTTCTTGTTACATTTATTTAGGGATGAGTTAGGCAGGTTTTAAATATCCTGACCTCCCACTCAATCCATGATATTTAATTATTATGTTTTTTAATCTATTATTATTTATAATATCTATATTAATTATTATTTTTTATTAATATGAATATCTAAGTTAATTTATACATATTTTCCAACTTATTTTTTATAATACTACTTAACATCAAAAAATAATTTAATTTTTATGAATTTATTTTTCAAAAAATTACTTTCAAAGACAAAAAAACTTTTCAACAAATATAAAAATTTCTGTGATGCTTAAACTATATCATCTCAAGCTCAATGCATGTATATACACGAATGCATGCTGCTAGACTACTAAACTTCCTGAGAATTGTATATCAAATGCTCTAGGGTTACATTTTCTTGTTACATTTATTTAGGGATGAGTTAGGCAGGTTTTAAATATCCTGACCTCCCACTCAATCCATGATATTTAATTATTATGTTTTTTAATCTATTATTATTTATAATATCTATATTAATTAATTTTTTTTATTAATATGAATATCTAAGTTAATTTATACATATCTTAATTAATTTTATAAATTCTAAAATTAAAACTGCACTAGTCATAAAATTTGTGAGAGATCAACCAACTTTAAATGGCTAGTTTATTTTGAACACCCCAACTTTGAATGCAGGTCATTGGCTTCTCGATGGAGACAAGGAGATGATAAAAGCAACTTCAAGATAGATATGATTTGCTTCCGTCAGGTGATGCAATTCCACACAAAGCATCATATAAAATGATAAAACAGAGTTAGAGATGCAGTTGCCTTACTCTTTCTGGGAACCACAATAAATACAATAATCAATACACTCGAGAATGGTTTGCATGCTTGTCTCAGTAGCACCCCTTCCATTACAATCGAGTGTCAAACTCACAACCAGAAAGAAAAAAATAAAAGAAGATTGAAGAGTTAAAATTTGTTCCTGCAAAATTGAAGACCTCTCCTGGGTGACAACAATACAGAGAGTTCATAATTATGGCTTTTTCCCGTGAAGAAATGGTCTCGTGTAATCAAGTAACCCCGCCCTAAAAGGGACCTGCTAGTGGGAAGATGATGAAACCAGCATCATCACTATGTATCGAGGGATGGAAACAAGCAGCCCTATGTGGGCTCAGAAAAATGCTCTTTGTTCAGGAACTTCAATGATTGTAGCAGACCCTTATTTTTCCAGCCCCTTCATCTTCTTTTACACACACACACACACACAGAATCTCTTTCTGTACAAATGCTTTGTTAATTTCGGTAGCTTCCTGGCCCAATATTATAATTGCTTTTCTATATATTCTGTTCTGTTTAGATAAACTCTCCGCTCGTGTTGAATTCCATTCATGAGCTCTGGCATCGCCTGCCTCCTCCTTTCTCCTTTGTTCTAGAAGATTTCTGGCTCGCGTCTTTCTTCTGTAATCAAGAATTTCAATTGGTTTTTTCGATTAGGCCTTGGCCCTGTCTTGTCCTCTCTGTTTCTTTTGTATTGACCATCAATATCGTCGAAATTTATTAAGGACTACCCAAGGAATCTTGATAAATGACAAGGACTATAATTATGTCGTTGTGCTCCAAGAAACCAATCCAGATGAGACTGAGAAGTACTTCGTCAAGCCCATGTTGGCTTTAGAAACAGTCCAAATAACAGATTGACCAGGCAGATTCCCGCAGGTCCACCACTAGAGAGAGAGAGACAGAGAGACTAAAGGAGTGATGAATCCCAACACCATGCTATAAAAAGAATCAACCCATGAAGTTGCTTTCACTTTGTTATCTGTCGCGGTCTAAAGTGGGGAGGAGCAGCGCCCACTACTTATTATTCCTACGCAAATAACATCCGAAAGAGGACCTCTATATGTTTTCTTTATCCACCTCGAAAGAAACAAGTTTAAAGATTTATCTTTATGCTTAAAGCCTCCTTGTATCATGATAAATAGTATTTTTGTAAGTTATTTTCAGTAAAAAAATGGTTTGGATTTCAAAAAAAATATTTTTTTTTTATTTTGAAGGAAATATACTTTTTAAAGTTGTAAAAAAATAAAAAATATTTTATTATTCATTAATTATAATCCT